CATCACAGTGGATACTAAAATCACTTCTAGAATTGGTATGCTAGACAGCTGTAGCTAGGGACTCCTTATGGAGCAATAACTTGAGTACCACTTGTCTTCCAGTTTGAAAGAAGACATTCTGAGAAAGGACTTGGAGTTATGTTGCAGATGTTTGAGATGATGTTCTTCGGCAGAGTTTCTGTATTCCTCTTGCCTTCTAACCACTGGCATTGCAAACCAGGAAAAGGGAACTCCGTGGAGTTTTAAGTTCTTTATGCTACAAAAAACCAAGAAGACATTACAAACGCAAGTCAAACTTTCCTTTTCCCAGTTAACCATTAGATTCACCTGTTTGGACAGGGAGCATTCTTTTCACTTGAAGACTTTTCTGGTTCAAATTAGTAATGCTAACCCCCTCCCTTCTTTATTACTGCTCAACTTGAATAGTTGAAACAGTAACTAGAAGAAAACAAGTCTGTTGGCAGGAAGGAGAAGTTCTTACAGATGCCTCTTAAGAAGAAACGGGAGAGATGGGAGAAAGAATCTCTCTCTCTCAAACTTGTGTAGGCACAGGCACACACAAAAATGTCCTCTAGAGCCAAGAAGGACAGGCAGTATTTAGGTGGAAGATTTATTTACAGAGCTTAAGCAGAGTTTTCGAATGAGTACAGAAGTTAATTTAGAAGGCACCTGAATTACTCACAAGACTTGACACAACCTCAAAAAAAAGAGGAGGAAGAAAGTGGTGTGTGGTATTAAATCATTGGCCTTGTGTTACTGTGTGCTTGTGACAGACAAAGCCTTCAGCAGTTAAATGAATGCTATGATTCTTCTGTGTACTGCAAGTGTGGTTATTGCATTGGTCAGAGTATGCTTCAAGCACACTCTCTCAGACCTCCTGAATCAATTGTTCCTCCTTCTTCCCAGGTCAGAGAATTCTCATGGTTTTCATCCTCTCTGAGGTGTTCCTTTCTTCCCTGTCTTTGTGATAAGGACTTCCTGTACTGGCCTGTGCAGCCTTTACACTGGCATGTGCTGGACAATGTGTGGGGTGCTGGCACTTACTAAGGTGTCCCATGGCCTGTCACTCAGATTTGCTGTGAATTTATCTAATGCTGATTCATTCCTGAAGGAGGGACTTTCAACTTGGCCATCTTGCAATTTGTCCACTTTCTAAACCAGGCCTGAAGTAAATGAAAGCTACAAGTATTTATTTGCAATACCCAAAAAGCAGAGTTGTAAATGTCTTAAGAAGGAATGGGCAAACAAAATGTATCTGAACAGGTGTCAGATGAACCTGTGCTTATCATGATTTGCCTTAGTTTTTTGGTGCCACAGTTAGCTAAAAGGCCTGCCACGCTAGTGGACCTGCCTTGCTGCAGAGGTGTCCCTGATGGTCAGGTCAGGAATTCTGTACATTTCTGGCCATGGTGTTCCATTAAGGCTTGTTGTCCCTTGTTTTGCTGCCACCTCCATGCTTTCCCTGCTGTGTGCTGATAAAACTGTTTGCGCAGGTCTGCAGGGCCATGCAAAGTCCTCCCCCACCAGGTCAGGAGACTGGCTTTGAGTTTGTTTTTAACCAGGGTGTAGCCTTTACTGCATTTTGCCCTCTGCCTCTACAAACAGTTGTGCTATCCCAGTGGAGATGCAGTGTGGCTGCTGGAGGAAATAGGAGATAGGAACAGAGTTTGCCTTAAACAGCATTGGCTCAAAAAGCTTTTGATTTAAAATCAGGTGCATATGTCATCTTTGACTTTGGGGTGATGCTGCAGGCATTGCCCTCTACTTGCCTCTGCCTTGCCTTGATTCCAGACACCAAAAAGCCTCATGTATCTTAGAACATCAAGGACTGAATTAATTTAATTTCAGGAACCTATAAGTAGTATTTGTTTAGATGTTAAGATAAAATCTTGCCTGTAAGTGGTGCATCTCCTTTACTTTGGTCCTCTGTATATCCTCTTTGGTCCTCTCTGTCTGAGAACAGGGCAACTACACACCACCTTTTTTCACTGAGTATGAATTTCACCGTTGTCCTCAAGGCACCTCTGCTGCCAAATAGATTTATGGTCTTGAGACTCTATTACCTTGGTCTTATATGTTGTCTTGGGTGAAGTGTTGGTAAACTTCCAGCTTCCTGTTTCATAGTTCACCAGTCTTTTTCCTTGTTTATCTGCTCTCATCAAACAAGAAACTTAAGTACACTACTTAGCTGCATTTTAGTTTTTCCTGAAACACAGAATATATGAGGTCAGATTTACATAATTTTTTCTGTATAATCTTTTTAGAAGATAGAAACAACTGAAATGTACCAGTGTCTGAATTAATAAAAATACATTGCTGAATACCTCAGTCTGAAGACTACTTTGAAATTAACTTTGCTAACTGTTCTTTTTGTTTGTTTTCTTTTGTGAAGTCCTGGATGAAAACAATCGGAACATCACAATCTGTGTACCTGAATTTAGTCAAGGCTTGCACAGAGATGAAAACCTGGTTACTGGCCTGGGTACTACCATTTTGTTTGGCTGCATTTTATATTCTTGGTAAGTCTGGGGGTTTGCACGTACCTCACTGTAAATGCAATGTCATGGTCCAACTAGAGAAGGTGCATAGCAAGCCTCATGCAAAGTAACAGGGAGGAATAGAACTGAGCTGGAAGGTTCATATTCTCCCCAGTTTCAGAATGGTTAGATGTTTTAGCCAAAAATGTTCAACAACATAGTACAACTTTTGAAACGGATACACTTCATTAAAACCAAATAAAGCAATTTACATCTAGAGGCGGGGGGGGGGGGGGGGGGGGCTGG